CTCTGGACAAGATAAAGGATTATGCAAATACAGGCAATTTACTATTTACCACTAGTTTTTCACCCAACACTGTTACATGATTTAGGATCAATATTAAGTTTTAAGCTGTCCACTTACAAGCCATGACATTTTGAACGCAACTACATTTGGCATTGTACAGCTGGATAAAGACAAGCCATGAAAGTAAAGTAAGATTACAGTTTCCATTGAACTGAGGTAGAAATTGTGCTTATTTGTTGATGTCGTCATTGAGCAAAATTTATTAGAATTAGGAAACTTTATTGTGTCAAATATTAACATTAGGTAAAATGTGATCAACTATGATTAATTAATTATGAAATCTTTGATTAATTTGATAACTTCATTAAATCGCGCCCCACTGTTACTTTTTGCCATCAAAATTGTCTCAATTCAGCTTTTTGCCTTACGACATAGCTTGAACATACATTGTATAATATCATTTGTAGGTATGTGATGATATTGTTGGATTATGTTTTCCTTTGTGTATTTTATTGATTATTACTTATTTCGACTCTTAAATGTTCTTAAGCTTTCTATCCTCATCTTGATGTGCTAGTGGTCTGCTCAAGTTAAATAGTTAAGAGTCATATGGTGTACATTGTCACTTTTTAAATAAAGTCAAAGTGTGACTATTGCTGTTACCATGCTACGTATTATGTTATTCATGTAAAAAAAATATTTTTTTAACTCATTGTGGTTTGCAGAGGCATCACAGTCAAACGGAACTTCACGCTATACAGCAATCCATTAATGTAAGTGTTAGAAGAGATGGGCTGAGGGTGTGTTCAAGCCTGATATACCTGATATCCAGGAAGTGTGCGAACAGCTTCCACGATGGCTAAAGCAGCCAAATGTTGTAGGAAAGGAATTCTTTGACCAAGCTTGGAGTTCAACTCAACTTGGACTCCAACTGTGAACATTGCACAGCCTAGTGGGCTGAGCCAAGCATTTCTGCCTCGGCCTGAAAAAGCAAGAAAATTATTTATTTCAAAACACAGTGTAAAAGGTGTTTTTGCATGTTTAGCACTAACCTCTTCCTTGTGTTTGTCGAGCAGCTACTGCTACCAAACCAGTGTTCTTTGGTAAGTGCAGCATCATCCTGTGAGAAACCAGTGAATAATTGTGGTTATTAGGATATCTGACTTCATGACACCTTCAATTAACTATTTATACTTCTTTTGTTTTGCTTTATTTTGAAGACATCTTGGAAATTTTATTTCTATCATAACAAAACTTAACACTATTTTTAATTTTGATTTGCATAATAATAAACATACAATGAAGGTAAGTAGTTGCTGACACCAAAGTGTAGCTACTGAAGAATTGTCACTCCTCAGTGACAAAAAACAGCACCTGTTAGGGAGGGGATAAATCCCTCGTTTTATCCCCTCCCTAACAGGTGCTGTTTTTTGTACTTCTATATTGTAATTTATCTGGTAAATGTATTTTTTGTTTTTGTTTGGAGGAAGTAACTGACTTTATTTTATATTTTGTTAATCATTCTCTCTTCTCTTTGAGGTCACCTGGTCATGTGTTGCCATGGAAGCACGCCCATGAGCAGTGCTGACAAAGTGTTTTCAATCAGCCTCACTGGGAAAATCCATTGTTTGACAGGGAGTGGAGATGTTTTTGGATTTTGTTTGGGCCCAGATTGTTTTTGTTTTAGTTTTGAAGTTGTTAGTTGTAATTATGTAAATGGTTTTCTAGGAATATAGTTTAATACAATTGTGACTTTTTTCTATCTGGAAATGTAACTGTTGTCTCCACCCCTTAATTAGTCCTGGTAGGAGCCAACCCTTTAAAAGCCAGGTGTTTTAGATCAAGGGTGTTTCTCTCCCTTGTTGTTTGAATGCCTATTATGCTGTGAACTGGATGGTAAAGTTTGAAGGACTGCATAAAGAAAAAGTCAGAGCTCTGCAATTTCTGGATCCTGTCTGATTTTTGATCGCAAACCAACAGTCACCAACACCAAAAAATACACAAGAGGCTGATGATGAACTGCAGATTTAACCTCACTAATGTGCATAGCTTATCAAATTAAAGAAAAAATTTAAATACAAACTCATATTTCCAAATGGGATTAAGGCAAATACAATCTACAGGTGCTGGTCATAAAATTAGAATATTGTGATAAAGTTCATTATTTTCCATAATGTCATGATAA